CACACACACACACACCTTTTTACGATTCAGAAGAGTTTTGGGAGTTTAAAAAAAGGCCCAAATTGCTAGCCTGATTTACTTACATTGCTTAGAGAAATATTATAATTTAATTCTCACTATTTCAGTTTTGACAAAGTGGGTGGGTGGGTGGTTGGAGCGTGCCACTGGTAGGCCCTACTTCTTTCCTTTCCCTCTGTTAAAATTGTATTGTTTCAGTCTTTTTTTTAATGTACGAGTTTTACGGCGCTCGCATCTGCGTAAGGTCATACTTATGAGCGCGCGAAACACAAGTTAGTTGCATTCACGACAGTTCACTGCACGACTGGGCTCGGGTCAATTATCAGATATCTAATTTAGAAAAACTTTTTAAAAATAACAGAAATATGTTAAACAAATTTATTTCATTTCACATTTTCCTACAAAAGCCAACGCCCTTCATAAAATCCAGAATTCTGTTGGAATCGACGACGGAAAACAGATCTTGCAATATCTTGCGTCTAAAGTATATCCTTCGGGTCTCTCCGAAGTCTAGCCTATCTTTTTTTCCTCAGTACCTCACTAAATGACCATTATTGTGTCGATGTGCTTCTCTCTACTCAAACTAACTCTAGTTTTGACCAGAACAAAACGATTGAATGATTTAATTCTTGCTGTCATATTTTGTGTGTCATTTAACTATAACAGTAAGCCTAAACAACTATCTCCTAAAAATCAGCATCATTATCAACAACAACAACAACAACTACAACTACAACTACAACAACAACTACAACCCAACTGTGGTACCCAGTTGTACCAGCAAAACTAATCAGCCATAATACATAATAATAATTTACTATGGATCATGACATAGAACATCTTTCTATCTTTCGGACTCCCGAATAAAGCCTCCGATATTTAAAAAAACAACAAACAAACAAACAAACAAACAAACAAACAAACAAAGACGAACGAAAAACAAAAATGAAACATTTCAAACACAAGATATCAGTATCTCAATGTAGAGCATTCTTGTTATCTCAACTGTGATACACAAATCAAAATAAATTAAAAATTATTCAAAAAACCTCATATTTACTATACGGCACCCTCATTTGACATTTTATGTACATATATAATCATTTCTAGAAAAAAAAGTCTCTGACTGTGGTTATATTTCGCAACTGCGCGGAGCAAATAGTAAAAGAAATGTTTGTTTTTTTGTGTAAAAAAAAAACACCAAAAAAAACCCAAAACAAAATGAAAATACTGAAATGAATCTACTGTACATTTACTACAATCAACATGAGTTGGGGGGGAAAATAGAGAAACATATATTATATATATATATCATATAATATAAAGAAAATAAATGTGGCACGATAAATCTTTAAAAGAAAGAAGCAAAATTTAAAACCAAAAAAAAAGAAAGAAAAAAAAAAGAAGAGAAGGAGTGGGAGAGTAAGACAGGTTTGGGTTTTTTTCCCCTGGGAAGGGGGGGGGGGGTGTGTGGAGAAAGGAGAGGGGGCCAACATCATGCAGATCATGGGAACCGTTGGTTAGGAGTAGGGTGGGGGGTGGGGGTGCGGGTTGTTTAAAAAAAAAAAAAAAAAAAAAAAAAAAAAACAAGGAAAAAAATCGAAATAAGTGAGGGATAATAAGTGTAGTCTGTTGTCAGTGTTTAGAAGAGGCAGACTTTCCCACAGACAGACATTTGTCTGCCGGCTCGTTGCAGCCCTGTTGGCGGATGTTGTAAGGAGAGTTGTCTTCCCCTAGGAGCCAGAAGGTGGTGATGGCCCCTTTGCCCTGTCACAGACGGACATTGGATTAGGAATTGATATAAAATAATGATGATAATATTAATATAATATATGTGAAACAGTGGATATATTATGTATATTATTATTATATGTATATTATTATTATATATATTATTATTATGGATATATAATTGAAGATGTTCTACGCCCCCATGAACATACATTTTATATCACTCTTGTCTGTTTGTCTGTCTGTCTGTCTGTCTGTCTGTTTTTCTCTCTCTCTCTCTCTCAAACACACATACACACACACACACTTCTTCTCTATCTCCCCTCCCCTCTCTGCTCCCCCCCCCCTTTCTCTCTCTCTCTCTCTCTCTCTCTCTATATATATATATATATATATATATATATATCTATCTATCTATCTATCTATCTATCTATCTATCTATCTATCTATCTATCTATCTATCTATCTATCTATCTATATATATATATATATATATATATATATCTATCTATATCTATATCTATATGGTGTATCCCTTACCTTCATCTCCACAGCGCCCCTCATCTCGAAGTGGAATGTTACAAATTCTTCTTCCTCCCTCCCCTCTCTCTGTCTCTCTCTCTCTGTCTCTCTCTCTCTCTGTCTGTCTGTCTCTCTCTCTGTCTCTCTCTCTCTCTCTCTCTCTCTCTCTCTCTCTCTCTCTCTCTCTCTCTCTCTCTCTCTCTCTCTCTCTCTCTCTCTGACGGGTATC